CAACATTAAAGTATGTTTTTTCTTTTTATGATTAAATGAAATAACGATTACACTCTGTCCATGGTGGGGCCCACTTGAACGTGAAAAAGATAGACAGTTGTCAGGTTATGGTAGGGCGTACGCTTATCCGACGTGGCCCCACAGCCGAATGGTCAATTTCATCTACCAGTCAACGAGACTTAAATTCTAAAATAATTGTTATTAAATAGTAAAGAGAAACTGATATTTTCGCAGCACAATAAATTTATATTTATAAAATAACAAATATATATAAATATATTTATTTTAAATTATGAAATTAGTAAAACTGCATTCTTAGTTTTATTTTAAATGCTACACGTAAGATGATTTTATTTAGTTAATGAGTAATATTCTTTTATAATTAGGATTGATTAGAATATTTATTTATAAAGGTACATATGACTATTTCAGTATATGCAATATTGATATTCTATATATGAGGGTTTTTCTTTAAAAAAAAGTTATTATATTTTAAATGTATTATATGTTGACAAAGTATTTTGTAAGTTTAAAAGTACTAATAAAGATGGATGATTGTTAGAATCTGATGGATAATTATATGTACCACCAAAAATAAAACAACACATATACGAAACATCGTAAATAAGATTACACATAAAATTACAAAACAACAAAAACTAACACATATAATTACGGTACAGTAGAATTGAAATCTAAGACAAGAACTCTACGTTTATGTAGATATAGCTAGGAGGGATTAATTCAAGTTCAAGAAATAATTGATTGAGAATAATATGAAATTACCTTATACCGATGGTAAAAGTCATTGGCCACGTCAGCATTGCTCCCATCTGCTATCGGTGCTGCATTTTTTTTTTTCGGATATAGATATATAAATTGTAAATAACGTGTACTAGTTTTTTAAGTTTTAGGAAAGCCTATTTACTACATTGGATTCAAATTTATGAATTTATATAAATGTGTAAGGAAAATCTTGGTTGACAGATATTTACAGATAAAACAACATAAAAATTAAAAAAAAATAAAAATCCCAGCTTATTAAAATGTTGAATGAAATTTATTTGCCAATAATGAATCTTGAAAATTAAAATCCAGGGGGCACCTTTTAGAAAGTTATAAAAGACACTTCCATGTTCCCAAAATTACGGCACAGTTACATAATTTGGACACTAGTGAAAAAATCGACACCAATATTGGTCCAGAAAATATTAAATTCAGCCAATCAGCAATATCCAGCAATTTTAATTTTTATTTCATAAAATTCTGCCTCCATTTAAAATTATATTTCTTTGTAAGTTGTATATGTGTTTGCAAATTAGGTGTCGTCCCTAAAATATATTAGTATCCTGTTAATTTATTTATAGCTATCACAATTAATTCGAAATCGGTAAGAAGCAGAAAATCGGTAAAAAAAAAAAAAAATACTGATAGGATAATAACTATCATTAGAAGAGAGACGAATACACATGGAATATTAAATAGGAGTAAAAAATATCTAAATTTGATAAGTTCGTGGACAACTAACATGCATCCACATAATATATTTTATACAAAATAGTACGTTGACATTAGTTAAATAAAAGTCATGCATTCATTTTCGTTCTTTTTTTATGATGATATGTTGCTTGCCAATGTAACTGTAAAACAAAATATGTTTATACAAATATAATAAATATGCCTAATGGTTGAACAGTCAAATTTTTTTTTCAATAAATATGCATATATAGAAAGTCAACCACTATACTTAAAAAAAAATTAAGATATGTTATTTCATAATATAAATATATATTATTGTTATAAAAGTATGACGACCCGACTTATCTAATGATTAAACTGAGTCATGCAAGAATTCGTGCAATTAAGTTTTATATATACATGGTGATTGATGTGTGTAAGTATCCCATATGCTTGGTCCCCTCCCTCCTTCAGATACAGCTCCTTCATACTAAATTGGGAAAAAAAAAACATAATTTTATCAATATATATATATATATATATCCAATTATTTATAATTAAAAAAAAACATAATTTTGTTTATANTTGTTGATTTAATTGAATATTTTGGGCTTGTGGTGAATGAAATTCCATTTCTAGTGTGGCGATTTATATAGACGAACAAAGAGAGAGAAATGATGAGTTGGATACGGCACGAAATACATGTGCATGATTAAAAAATACTGTATAATTAATGTGACAAATGACACGAAATGAAATAGCACGTAGCAAAGGAAAATAGAAATGTAAAGAGTTTATACTTAGATATATATAGACTAAGACTTGATAATACAATTGAATAAGTTAACACGCAATTATCACAACCTAACCACACGATTTGCTGTCATAAGGCTGCTACTAAGCAGGACTTACGCTACGGTTAGATGCCTTAATTTTTCAACAGATATATATGCATATGTACATTTAGAAATAATATAAACAAAAAGTATGATATATATTTGTCATTATAAGAAAAAATATGACAGATCGACCCGTTTAACCGTTAGGTTGAGAAAGCAATAGTTTGTGATCGGAGAGAGGTGGTGGGCCCGACGGGGATGAATTATTGTAGATGAAGCACTGTTCTGCAACGTGTTTCATGCCAGAACTGTCACCAAATCATTAGTTTATGAAACATATTATTTTGGTCTACAGGGGCCTAAAGGGGGCTCGAATTTAAATGCCACTACTTATTACATACATTATACTTATACATATACAAGCATGTTATCATAGAAAGTTTTTGGTTTTTATTAGGTCGACGTAATTATTAGACCAACGTACTATTTTTCACATATATGCATACTTATATTAAAAATTGTCATACTAAAAATGCATCATAAACAAAAATATATATGTCATAATATGAAATTTAATAGTATAAATATACACTTTTATTCATAGAATATGACAAGTCAACTCATGAGTCCTGTTCCTTTTGAACCGTCTAACTTCTAAGCGGTTATTGTTTCTTTTTTTCTTATGCTTGGAGTGATTGCTCTTTATATTATGAATAGATATAAGATAATAATATAATTTTTAAAGTGGAATGATTTATACAAAAATATACAACATTAATTAATAAGATGTAAATATAGATGAACAGTTTTTTTTTAGAAAAAAAAAATTAATTGTAGTTATTCCTATACAGGAAGTTTAATACTTTTCCATCCATTTAAATTATTAAATTTAGAAATTAATAATTGCTACATTTTAATATTTTATAAATGTTGTTATACAAAAATTTCTTCATTTATTTTGTGATTGTAATATTACTTAAATATTATCGACTACATATAATATATTGATATGCATTATTAGAAGATATTATTTTATTTATATAATTTATAACACCTTCTTGAGCAGGTAATTCCACGTGCAGTGTGCCAGTGTTTAATATAATAATAAATATCTTGGGCAGAAAAGATGTGGAAGTACAAAGTTTTTGGCCCACATTTATCGGCCCAGTTATTTATAGTGTCTTGAATCTTGATAGGCTGTAGCTAGTGTGACATAACATGATCGTGTTAATCTTCTATCTTCTATCACATTTAAATATGAATATTAACTTTTATCCATTTTTTATCCATTTGTGAACAGAAAGTCATAATATTTGATAGATATATTACGTATTACCTCATAACAACCGGTAACAACATAGTTCTGTTTTTCAATTTTAAGTTGAAAATCACAAAAATCATGGTAAATGTCTAATTTTGTTATTCAAGCATAGTTTAACATTTGAAATTCAATTTTATGTAAACATTCTTATGATTAATACACTAAAAACATTAACTTTGAAAAGTTATGAGGTATTAGTTATTATCTAAAGTTTATAAAGTTTACATATTAATATAAACATTTTCTTTTGAAAAATCATAAGTTTTTGTACCTACGTTTTTAATTAAAATGCCATTCTCAATATTTAATTATAGTACGTACGAATTGTTAGTATTGTAAAGTTATGGAATTAGAATTTTACAAAATTTATGCTTTCGATTGAGCATTTGATACTGTTGATGTTGATTATAAAGAAATAAATCAATGAAGAAATAACTTTTCTATTTTCCCACATTTATGAGGAAACCTTTTTACTCAAAAGATGAAAAAAAACATACAAATGCTAGATACATATACATACATATATGTGTATAATAATGGAAGGTTCGATTATGCCGTAGCCGAATTCTTTTTTAATCATTGAATCGATACACAAATTCATACTGGTGTGTATTGATTTTAATAAAATATCAATTCATATTAGTGTGTATTGATTGCAATAAAATATTGTATATATAAAATATCGAATGACTGTAATAGAATCAATAGAGATTGAAATGTTCCTATAATAGGTTGAGTTAGAAGTAGACCTCTTAAACGAAGCAAGCCTCTCGCAAGCTCTGATTGGTTCGAGTTCGACTTCACTCGTTTGTTAAATGAGCCGACTCGAGTTCATTGAAAACTTATTTAATTAACGAGCCAGCTCGATTGGGTTTCTTAAAACTCGAAAACTAGAATTTTTGTATAATTTTATATAGTTCGGCTCGTTAAGACTCGAACTCGACTCGATAATATTGATAAAACGAGTCTAATTCGAGCTCGACCCGACTCATTTATAACCCTAATTAGAAGATCTCACATAACCCCATTAAGTTTAACTCACCATTAATCAGACACCACAATGTACTAACTCTATGAGTTCCAGTTATCAATATATATATATATATATATATAATCGATATTTTTATCTCTACCTATATAGTCAAGTTGCATCCAAAATCCGCTGGATATATAGCGACACTTATAACATCAAATTTAAAACGGTTTATTCATTATATGCATGACAGTCACATGATATATGTAAATGTAACAAATCATAGCAGGCCCATATTTTAAATGCTTATGCAAGGACCACTTTTCAATTATTTTTATACTTTGCCTTTCTATTATTGCTATACTTTTTTTTTTGATTGGCTACAAAAGGAAAGGTCACGGTTCACTCACATCACTGTACATTGTAGATAAATAGATATTTATACTATCAAATCAAATATATCATATGTTTACACAAACTCACAAACATGAAATTCCCACTTGGCCAATCTTTCCTTGCCTCAACTCTCCACACTAGATAAGATTTTTTTTCCCAAACAATATCTATACTTTGTAAAGTACAACCTTAACAAGGAAAGTAGTAACCAATCCCTTCGAACCTTTCGTTATTGGGTTAGCCACACTTCGGCATCATTTGAAAAAAAAACCTTATGTAAACAGATTGATTAGTCAAGTGAATAAACACATTGATGTAATGTTTTTTTTTTGTTTTTTTTTTTATTATAATTACCAAATAGATCTCAGTATTAAAACCTTAAATTAGTTGACAGCAAAAGAGTAATAATATAAACAGCAAACCTTGTGATACTTTCTGATGAAAAAATTGAGAGAATCGAGGGCCTCCTCACAGAATTGTTTCAATGAGTGGTTCCGTGGACCGGATTTCAGATGATTTTCAATCACAGATGATAGAGTTGTGTTCTCATGTATTCTGCAGGGAAAGAAAAACCAAAAATAACAATTAAAAATGACTCGAATGAGATTAGAAAAAAAAAAAATGTTTATGCATAATTCCCCATGTAGATCTGTTATAGTCAATGTCCTCACCCACGATCAACCAACACAACATCAGTTGAATGAAACCGCCATTCAATGGTCCACGATATGAACTTCTTCCAGAAAGCAAATGCAAATGCAAATGCCACAAAATTTAAAATAAAAAAAAAAAGGTGATAAATTGACATTACAAAGACAAACACAAATCTCGTGCAATTACTTGTCGGTGTCGTAAGTCTTATTCTTCTGTCTCTTAGACATTCCACTTGAAAGAAACAGCAGCCTCGGCATTCTTAAGGTTTTTGAGGGAAAAAGGAAGCTTAAAATGTGAGTATCCGCACAACTTTACTCTCATCCTCTGAGCCCACTCAGCAACTCTTTTCACGTCCTCAAACATGTTATAATCTACGAAAAGAAAGACAACGGTAAAAGAAATAGAAAAAGTTACTAACAAATTACGAAGAAGGATAAAGAGCATTTGCACATACGCACTATAAACTTTCTCTTCGAGTTTGCAGGGATAGGAATGGAGCCAGATGATAATTACAAGATTTGTTGTAGATAGAATATTTCTAAAATACTAGACTGAGTGAAGGTAATATTCCGTCACTTGCAATTTTCATGGTTTTGCGGTCAACGTTTTGGGTTCAAAGTGAAGGAATGTTAATATTCGATTCTAAATTCTTGGCAGGAAAAAATTTAGTAATGTTTATTGCTACTTTCAATTCTTAATTCAGTTATTCATCATTCTCTTTGTATTGTGTGATCAACCGAAAACCGAAAAAACTTACTCACTGAAAATCAAATCAATTGATATGTTATAAAAACTCAGTTGAGATAGGTTTCAAAGTATTCAAACAACTTTGACCATATTTTTACATCCAAAAATAAAATTCAGTCTAAATGTTCTCTTGAGACTATTTTTACATTCAATAAAATTCAGAGTCCAAATCAATCAATCAATTAAAATCCCACTAAGTGGGGTCGGCTATATAGATCACATGTCGCCATCTTGCTCGATCAAACCACATATCTTCAGTTAAATTTAAATATTTTAAATCATTTTTGTTGTCTCCTTACAAGTTTTTTTAGGTCTACCCCTCTCCCTTTAAATTTGTGTTTTTAATTCTAATGTTTCTACCCTTTTCACCGGTGCCTCGAAGTCTCTCCTATACACATGCTCAAACCATCTTAATCGTGATTCTATCATTTTCTTTTCTATGGGCGCTACTCTAACTTTATTTCTAATACTTTCATTTCTAATCTTATCTATCTAGTATGCCCACACATCCATCTAAACATTCTCATCTCTGCCTCTCGCTTTTTACTTATCATTTTCATATTTAGTAGCCCAACACTCGGATCGATAAAACATCGTCCGTCGAATGGTCGTTCGATAGAGCTTATATTTCAAACTCATTGTACTTTACGATCACAAAGTATCGACGACGCGCTTATTTACTTGTTCCAACCCGATTGAATTCTATGTGTTACATCTTTATTTATGTTGCCATTATCTTATACAATGAATCCTAAATATTTAAAACTTATAGACATGTTCAATTCGTGTTCTTCAATTTTAACTTTTACCCCACTATTTCTCATTTAATTACACTCCATATATCCCGTTTTGGCCCTACATTTTGAAACCCTTTGTTTCAAGGGCATATCCATGTTTCTAACTTAGCATTTACCCCCTCTCTCGTTTCATCTACTAACACTATGTCATCCGCAAACAACATACAATCGATGACATTCAATTGCAAATGCTTCGTAAGTTCAATAATTCAGAGTCCAAATGTTCTCTTGAATTTGTCTGAGAGAATGAGAAATGAGAAGGAGCTTTTGCAGAGACATATCAAACGTGCCAAGAGGGTTTGTTCACGGTAAAGTGCTACAACTTGAATTACAATCCTTGGTGTAATTGTGAACTCATGGTATATGATGCAGTAGGATCCTCAATAGAAACCACTCAGGATCTGGATCTATGCAATATAAATAATACTCCCAGATGTATATGGCAATTTACTAGCATCATACAACAAGTGCATGCTTGATTACCTACGAAAAACCCGCATCACTAAAACTCATCCAAGAACGAAAGGCAAATCATAATCACAATACAGAAAAAAAATAAAAATAAAAAAAGAATCAATATAACTCAGGCCAAAAAACACATCAAGCAGCATAATTACATATAGCTAATTTCCCAAGCTCTCATCCAACACCCCCGTAATCCAGGCTAAGCTCCCTCATCGACGATATATTCTCAAAAGCAAACGACATTAACTGAGGAAAAGACATATTGTTGTGGTAGTACAACATGAACAGCACACAAACTACGGCTAATGTAGCAGGCCACATCCCTCATCCTCCTCACTTCATCCTCCTCATCAAAACATATAGTAGGCTATATTCCTCATCCTCTAGAGGGGGTTGGGTGTTATGGCTAATGTAGCAGGACACATTTCTCATCCTCTAGAGGGAGTGGGGTGAGATGTCTCTAGAGTCTCAATTGATGAGGAATGTGGCCTGCTATAATAGCCATAGCACCCAATGTTTTGTGGATTGGTACGAACACAACAATGTGTTTTCCTCATTTAATATTGCTTGCTTTGGAGAATATACCACCGATGAGGAAACTTACGGGTTGTTGGATGAGAGCTTAAGGAAATCAACAATGTCTTTTCCTCATTAATAGTGTTTCCTTTGGAGAATATACAACCGATGAGGAAACTTACGAGTTGTTGGATGAGAGCTTGAGGAAACTGGAAATTATTGTGATTATGATTTGCCTTTCTAGTGATGTTGATTTCTCTGCATGCACCTGATATTATCTAAATAGTTTGCATATACCATGAGTTCACAGCCCCAAACGAATTGTAACTCGAGTTGTTTGTAACAGAATATAGTGTTAACAATATAGTGTTAATGTTAGCATTTTACGGTGAACGAACCTCTTGTCACGTTTGATATGTCTCTCACTCTCACAGACAAATTCTCAAGATAACATTTCTGAGACATTCTCAAGAGAATGTTTGGAATTTTATTGAAGGTAAAAATATGGTCATATTGTTTGAATACTTTAGAAATCTATCCCAATTGAATTTTTATTATCAATTGAATTGATTTGATTTTTAGAGAGTAATGTTTTTGACAATAAAGATTGGAATATCTCCAAGGATTTAGGGTGGATAGAAGCACTTGGAGGCTCGCTATCAACGTGTCAGAACCGTGACTTTTGCTCCTTTTTCTCTTTCTCCCTTTTTTTTTTCGATCTCTTCCTTTCGGTTCGAGTCTTTTTGTGTTTCTCTTGGGTTTCATCTCTAGCCTACCCCGACTTGCTTGGGACTAAAGGCTATGTTGTTGTTGTTGTAATGTTTTTGACAATACAAATAGAAGGATTGATAGTTCTTTATAATCCTCCTTAACTGAATTAAGAATTGGAAGTGTCAATAAACATCACCAAAGAGACTAAATTTGCATATCTACCCATGGCCTTTACACATAATCCAAAAGGGAAAAAAAAATAGAGAAAGAGGAGAATTTTGCTTTACACCATGGCCGTGAAACAAATGCCCTCACTGCCCAACAACCTTTGTCGAGCTTGGCTCGTTAACAAAATGAGTTTGAGATCGGCTCATTTATCAAACAAGTCAAGTCAAGCCAAGCTCAACTCATGAGCCACCCGTTTCTTTTAACAGCTCTACTGTATATGTCCATAAGCAATTTCGTCAAACTAAAACATTTCAAAAATCAACTGACCAAAAACCCATTCGCCACCACAGCTCACCTAATACAGCAAAATACCCCAAGACTCCATTTTTCCATCAGAATGCACTAATTCAGCTGTAGCTACTCAAATACGCGCAACAAACAATACACATATCTAAAGCGGGTCGTCTATTTTTACTTCAAAATTAAACGAATAAACCAACCTGAGATTAGGAGATTATGATCAAACTGCGCGATCGGGACGAAGCTGGTGACGGGTCTTTTTCCGGTAGAGGCTGTGCGTTTCTTGTGAGAATTGACGCAGGGGAGGCTGCAAGAGCGGAGGGAGCAGCCGGGGCACTTGTACTTTGATGGGTTTGATTTTGCACTCCTCATATAAAATCGGCTGCGTTTTGTCGGCCGGCGGCGAGGGCTCTTCCGTTTTCTCCTCCATTGGCGCTCGAATTTGAGGGGACAAAGATTGACTCAGCTTGATTAGAGAAGAAATTGATGGTTTTAGAAAAAGTAGTGTTTGGAAATGTTTGATAAAACGCTAATCCAACGCTTACGATTATATAGACGCGTCACTAACCCGTCATATTTTGTTGTAAAATACAATTAGACGGGTTGACCCGTTTGTT